TCCGTCAATCGCAACCGCCAGACATCATTATACTGCACTGCTGGAACGCTACTCCTAATCGTGGCATCATCTGTCTCCGCAACCAAAAGTGAAAGTCCTCCAAATATGATGAATTCGCTCACAGCAGAGTTTGTATGCAAAAGTCCAGCATGGTGAAAACGACTCGTAGGTCGATTTTCTCCAACTAGAACCTCGGCCCATTGTCTATTGACAAGGTCGAACACCCACGTATCGTTATGTTCGATATCTTCATTAGCTGCATTGGTACTAATACCTCCAAAAACATACAAATTATCTTCAAAGACGATGGTACTATGAGCAGAACGTCTCATGGGCTGCACAGAAGCCGATCCATACGATGTGCTCCAGAATTGTGTCCATTGTCCTGAAATGGCTGGACTTTCCACTTCTGACATGATTTCAGTCAAATTTGGATTTCGAGAATCTGCAAGAACGTTCGTTAGGAAGCAGTCCTGAATGAGCTCGACAAAATGCAATAGAACCAAACTAAAATGAGTGACCAAGCTTGTCGTTAAATTATAACTTGAGTTTATAATTAGAGGAACATCTCTGACTGATTTCTCCGCAACAAATTCGTGTACTGTTCTATATGCGTAACGCCAGACTAAGGGCTCTATCAATTCCACTACATTATTCTGCACGTCTTGCTCTTGATAATGAAGATATCTGTCTATATTTCGCCATTTGTAAGAATCCCTCACAACACGTCTGCTTAACGAGCACGTGATTGACTGCTCTGCTCCAATAACTGTTTCGTCACTTTGGCTAATCTATCTAATTCCACCGTCGTTGCTGGGCCCCCGGCACTACAAGAGAATAAACCATAAAACTACATTAAGCCCAAGACACAACTATACAAGAAGTCAACTTTACGTACATCCAACGAACTCGTCCTTTACTATCCACTAAATGTGCATAGCCCACAAAACTATTATCGAGCGCCATGACAGTCCGGAACTCGTCGCAACGTCCAAAGTGCGTAAAAGTCGTAGCATGCAACTCTTTTGGTATCTTATCTTGCAAGCCACGCGTAATGCTTCCACTCACATATTTCATGTACCATTCCTCAATCACGTTTAGCGTGATTGTTTTCACTTTGCTATTCAATTTGTCACTTCTGTCCACAAACGCGGCTGTAAAGCCATCCCGCCATGCCGGTAGCATGTCCAAACCATAGTTTTTGAAACATGTGAGCATGAGTGTAGCTTTTCCGTGGGTCACAATGCGCTGGATGTCCACGTGCTTGCCGTCTAACGTCTTCACCTTCAAAGACGGAACATGCTTGGCCTTATTCACCTCAAAAAGCTTCTCACTTCCCTCCAGCACCTTACCGTTCGTGTCGTTGAGTTGCTTAAATTCTGCAAATGTGTTAGGACGGTACT